CATCACCCAACCTAGCCTGAAAATAATGAGAAGCATGAGCACATTCCACACACAAACTGCTATTTGCTTTATCTCTACTGAAATATACAGTCAAATTAAAACAAATGAATTTAACTTGACTGTGTGCTACCACTGACACTCCAAAACCAGAACTTATACACAACAGTCCAGCTAGAACTGTATATCAATGCTGTATGACTGGATGTACTTAAATAGAGTGAAATGTATAAATAAAAGTACTGTCATTCAACTTGTTGACTGTTCTCATTTCTCATTCATTTGCTCTGTCATACTTCTCTTCTCTGAAGTGAAGAATCTTCACCTTAAGTGCAATGTGACTGAGAGCATTTTAGCTAATTCTCTGATTTACAGAAATAAACCTGCTTCTTATTCAAATACCTTCATCTTATTTTCTCCGGAGGTCACTGTGTCATATTAAATTACTTGGAAATGATTACAGGGATAAACAAAGTTGTTGCTACATATATTTAAAAATGCACATTTGGAACACAACATGCTACACTATTTTGCATCAAGGATGAATGCATGGAACCTTTACTCGGTGAATGTGCTTTTTTATGTCACTTTGGCAGAGTAAACAGTGCAACAACCCATCTGTGAGTAGACGCATGCTTCATCAAACTTTAATCACTCCCAAGTGGTGTCCTCCTCTTATCGAACACGCTCAGGCCTCTGTCCAGTTTGTCAATGAGGAGGTCGGTAAAGCAGAAATGTGATAGTCTACCCCTTTTAAATGAAATATGATATATTGCAAACAGTTAAAATTATATGACATGAATCCCTTATGGCTCTTTTGTCAAAAATCGAGACCTGCAATGTGTTATTCCATATCCAAGTTACAATTCATGGTACAAGAACCACATGGGAAAAGACAACCAAGAACAATAATCCTATTTTGATGGACGGGATTAATTTGTAATTTATTTTATTTATTTAATTCAGTCTGCAACTTTGCACAAAAAATTTAGAGAAGAACTTATTTGGCTTGTGCCGGTTGTTGCTCAGTGGTTTGTACTGTCGCCTCACAGCAAGAACCCAACCCGACCAGCTGGGGCCTTTCTGTGTGAAGTTTGCATGTTCTCTTCGTATCTGCGTGGGTTCCCTCCTGTTGCTCCTTTTTCTTCTTACAGTCCAAAAACATGCAGGTCTTGTGAATTGGAGACTCATAATTTCCTGCAGTGGGTGTGACTGTGAGTGTGAACATGTTTGTCTACGTGTTAGCCCTGTGATAGACTGGTGACCTGCGCAGAGTTATAGCACTTTTAGGCCGCAGCTCAGACTCTGAACAGGATAAGGAATATAGAAGATGGATTGATGGATGTTATATGTCAGTGTGCAATGATTTGATTCATATCAGTGAGAGGCTGGAGAAGTAGTCACATCACTCAGACATGTCAAATAAAATCACAGTGTCATTTGTGAGAGGAACAGACGACTTCTGCAGTTAAAGTAGGAAATGAAAGTCAGAACAAATGTTTTGTGTTTGCGCTCCTCTTAGGCTCACAAAACTTTTAGCTCAAATATTCTACACCTAGAAAGTCAAGAAAATGATTCTTCCTTCCAACACTTAATGACTGCGTTTTAGCAATGTTTATGATATTTAATCCAGAGGCTTTTGTAGTCACTCAGAGTGAGTTGATTAATATACAGTACAGAATACAGTAATGGAAGATATTCAGCTGCATACTCAACTAAAAGTAGCATTTTCACAATGGGAATGATCCATTACAGATACATGTTTGCATTCAGAATGTATGTATTACCATAAAATTGCAATTAATAGCGGAGTCCCAAATACCCACCTACCTCCTTTACTGGCCTGGTGTGGGAACACATTTTGACAAATAAACGCCTGCCTTAATTAAATGCCTGGTCTGGTTTTCATAGAAGTTCTTTGGATGTATAAAACCTGTTAAACCCCGCAGGGTCACCGGCTTTAGCTGCTTCTAAGCTGCTTAGATTGTTAATACAAATATTAATGTTTAAACGTATGATCATTATTTCAATATGGATATGCTGAACATTGTTAGATCGGATAGATTCTCCACAATACCACTGTTAAGTTCATTTAACGGAAACAACAAGACCCAAAGTCTAATTCTTCTACATTTACCGGTGTAACCTGCATGGCTACAAGAGAGGAAAAGGGGAAAAAGTGCTGACTATTATTTCTTTAGTCTGTAAGGATCCACCCATCAAAAGAATCAAATTAAACCAATTTGTGAATCCTGTCATGTGAAGTCCATCGCTCTCTGTCTACTAACTTCTCTCATCCTGCACCGTGTTGTTGTTTTCGTGAGGTTGCTGCCTTCAAAATAAAGCGCATAAGCCGTCTGTCGGAGCTAGATCAAATGAATGACGTATTTGATATTATTTGATAATTTTTTAAATAAATAAACTGTTTCATAGTAGTTTCAGTTTTGTGCAAAAAGAATTAAAGGCCTGTCCCATGTGGACGCCTGTCCCAAATCAAGGCAGGGTCAATTCAGTGATTTTAGCAAATAAAAGCCCAGGCTATTATTCAAAGTTTTACGGTATTAGATATATTAGCTCAAAATTAGGATCAAAACTAAAAGTACTCATTAGTCAGACTGTCCACTTTTTGTGTTAGATTATTGCATTGACCTGTAAGCAGCATTTTAATGAGGTAGTTAGTCCTAATTCTAATGACTTTATTTATTGTTGAGTAAAGAATTTTGGTTTAAGCATAGTTTCATATATTTTACATGTACAATCTTTAAAGTAACTTTAACTACAGCTATCATATTATTATAGTGGAGAAAAGTGGAATGTCCTGAAGTGAAATACTCAGTACTTAATTACTAGCACAATTATATAGTTAACCTCCACTTCTGGTAGAATGTAATACTTTACTTTACATGCTATGTGTATGCGTTTCAGTTTTTGGATGAAATTCAAGAAAATTATCAATCACAAAATGTAATATTGATCCCAAAAAATTTGCTGCGTTCGCAGGTGTTTTTTCATTATAGTAGTCAGTCTTCTCTGAAAAATACTGAAAATTGGTTCCAAGATTTTGAGTGAGCTCTAGTTTGAGTGCAGAAAACTGGCCAATTTGAACTGGAGCTGTATGTGACCACAGTGCGGTCAGTGGGTTTCCTGCAGCTACTTGATCTAAAATGGCAGTGTAATCTCTTTAGATGGCGGTTAATTGTGCATCGGCCTGAATTGCAAACGGGTAAATGCTCAGGACACAAAGACACAATCAACACACATGTGCCTCACCAAACCCAAGACGGCCCCACTTCCTGTCACTCAGGCTACACCAAGGAAAGTGAACCAAATGGCCACTTGTGGCCATGTAGCGGCATCGTACAATGTCAACAATCAAGTCTGCATTATGCAAAAAGTGGGTAAACAACAGACTGAGGGACACAAATTGGCTCAACACCAGCTGTCTAATTAGCTTTGTGCTGCTCTTGAAAAGCAAACAAACAGGGAAAGCGGGACGGTCTGAAAGCCGGCCAGGCATCGCTTCTAAGTGTTCTGTTCCCCCCAAATCAGAGGGGGTGCTCCAATTCTGCTTGCATAGAGAGAGAGGGAGGTTTCAAATAAGACACACAGATTAGATCATACGTTAAGTCCCCAGAAGGCCTTCGCTCGGTTATTTTGGAAGCGCTGTAAAGACTCACAAGAGGCTCGGGTGGAATTTACATTTTAATGAAGCCTTGGCTGATTGCTATTACGTGGAGTTCCTCGCAACTGCCTAGTTTAAGCTTACGTGAAGCACACATGAAAGCACATAGGCTATACACAAAGCCATACAGAGAAAAACAGTCCGATGCACATGTGCCCACACAGGCAGCAGATACACACGCCCCACTAATTTAACACACTCCTGCTGAGAGGTTGTTGCAGAAACAAATTGTCCTGTAAACATAGGGAGAGAGCAGAGAGCACACTCAGGGGTGCATTACATGACAAAAACACATTCTCATCCAGCATGATGTGTCTGGAAAAAACATTGGCAACAATTTTCCTGCGTTATAAAATACACAAAATGGAGGCTTTTTACATTATATAGGACATAAGGGGATCTGGATAGAAACATTTAGGAGAACAGGGAATGGGGTTGTCTTTTTTTGTTGCAACATCACAGCAACAGGCACAGCGATGAGTAGCAGGAGCACCGTGACAAGTGTCGCGTTGACGAGTGTTACTGACGAATTTTGCTCAGCAAAAGACGACATGTATCATGTCAGAATCGTCAGGACTCGTCACTTCACTGTCATTTAGCTACAGCCTGTGTGGGAGTGAAGACAAGTCCATATTCCCTCGTCGTTATCAGGCACACTGCAGTCGGAGGAGTGAGTAATGATTAGTCACGTACAGTGGCGGCTGCTATTCACCAGTCGCCACTAAAAAAGAAAGCAGTAATAGCAACTGGAAATTTCTGCCGTTAATGACATTTTTGGTGAGTGCCATCAAACAGACTACAAAGGCAGTTCCATGCTGTGAAAAACAAATCCAGCCAGTGCTGTGGGACTGTGTGTCCTGGCAGTCCTAACACTTCTTTAAAAATGATCAGTTCCTCCCTTGTAAATGGCATGGGCTCCTGGCACATCCAGAATAGGAGACATCTTATCTGCAGCACCCCTCTTATCGCTCAGCCCCAGTGGAAACTATTGCCAGGTAGCAGGTTGTCATATGACACACAGTGCTGTGACAAGCCACAGCTCCGAGTAGTTTGCCACACCACTGGCAGCTCCCCTGTGATAATACATAAGACAACAGTGCTGCAGGGTCTCAGATAGCGCCCAGGGGAAATGTGAACCCAGTGGTGATTTATATCTGCCTTATTAAAGAGCTGACCTTGGCCACGGGGAAAACCGGATTAGTCAGTTTCTTAACAAAGACAGGGGTGACGTTATGCTGTTGAAATGAAGAGCCTCTTCCTTTTTATGCTCTCTATCTTTTCCCCCTCACTTTCTCTGTCTTGCATTTACTAGCATCCAGTGTTCATTGTCCTGTTAAACAAAAGGAATGGCTGATGCAAAATTCTGTGGCCAGGCGTCTCTCCCTGGCACAACATTAACACCGCAGACACTGACTCGGCACTCGCTGTGGGGTAACACTGCTTGAGCGAGCAGCGCACACACGCCAGCCATGCTACCTCGGTCGTAGACAAAGCCTGATGAAAGGATCCTGGAGGTGACTGAAGGGATAAGTGCATTCTGCAAACTGCAGCTTGTGGCAGGTATAAATCCATTTTTTTTGTCAGCTAGAATTAGAATGTGCCTGTCATTTTTTTACTTTTAGAAAAATTGTACAAGAGGGCTTTTTGACTGTGATCATTTTGGATAGGCCTACATTTACCTACTTTTACAGGCATTTCATAAATATAATTGAACTTATGTTTATGTAAAACACTGTCTTGGCTCTTTCATCTTAGCAACTTGTGACTCATTTGGTGTACAAAGAGCTAAAGCAAAACACAAAGACAAACCCTTACTAGCAATAACCTTGGTGATGGTGATTGCAGAATGAGAAGTGAGACTCTGACACGATGAAGGAATCACTGAATCACTGAATTGACTGGGTGGACATTGAATTGACTTTGTATTATAGGGTCACTTCTCTCCTTTCTCCTCTCCCACATGGAACATAAGTGCTCTTTTTCTTTCACCCTCTCCCCCCCTCACCCCGCTTCCTTTCACTTTTCAGCTCTCTCCCTTTCCCTCACTGTTAGACGTTATCTGAAAGACCAGATCACCATGGCAACAATTAGTCACATCGTCATCGCCCACACTTGTATTTGATGGCTGTTTTTATTTTGTAGGGTTTGTCGATGCACCCATACCTCACTGGCAGTTTGCCAAGTAACCTGTTCCGATGATGAAGGAACAATGTTGCCATCTGTTGGATCCAAGTGTTTGCACACAGAGACTGACACTGAAAGAACATTCAGCATTCCTGTGATGACTCATGACAGGCAATCACATGCCAATTAAGACAAACCAGGAGCCGTATGAAACACATCTAAGCCATAGAAGTCCCACTTTGAAAAGGTCAGCGTGCACCATAGCAGTTCTTCCCTTTGGTAATAGAAAGTAATAGAAATAGAAAACAAAGATGCTGCCTTCCTCTAGTTTCTGACATGAAATGCAGCCGTGAACACACATAATGGTGGTATGACACAAGCCTGACTCGGGTAAAAGTAGAGTATGAGTAGCTCGTTGGCAGCTTGGTTAATTAAACATGGAAAACATTTGGGCTTGCTACCAGGACTTACATTTATTCATCATCTCCTGCCATATTGTATATCTCTAAATGAAAAGAGTGCTCTCTTGCAGCAGGGTACCAGCTAATGTGAGAGATAATATATTGGCTGAGATTTTGGCTGAGTGTTACCCTTGAAATGTTGGATCTGTTTCTGCTCTCTGGAGGCGCTAATTAAGTTTTTTTTTTCCTAAGTCTTACCGTTAAGTGATGTAATACTTCATAGTCACAAATAATTTTCCATGTGGGACAGATCATTGCTCTTATTATTTATTCTGCTCTCTCAAACCATTGCCAAGAAAAAGGGTGTTAAAATGTTTACCTACATTATCAGGATTTTGTCCGAAGAAAGATATTCCTCAGCACTGAAGCACAGGAACACAGCTGTTTGTTCAGGCTGAGATAATGCAATATTGCAGGCAAATTAACTCAGGTCTGCTTTGGGCATTTCTGCACTGGCAACATAGGTGTGAACCCCTGCTAAAACACAGGCCCAGGGCTACATATTAATTATTATTGTGCAGTGCTGTTTAGCAAGAGATCTAATTCAACATCTTTATAGTCAGATTTACAATATGGCTTGTCCTCTAAAGATAAATGACCACATCGCACTGACCAGCCACTGGCACACGACTGTGTTTGCTTTCAGGTCTCCACCAAGAATAGGCAGCAGCTTTCCAGTTCTTGGACCGTAAAGCTCTGCTGTGGCTTGCCAGGCACTGGGAAATAAAAGACAATTGTCCTGCAGATGCTCAGTGGTCTTCTGTAAATTGTGTGAGTACTGTCTTCATCGGCTCTGCAGCAGTACAGGAACTACAGTGTCACTATACTAGAACATTTCAGTAAAGCTGTCACATATAAGTGTGATTTTTTTTACAGGTATATATGAACATTGGCATGCACACAGATTCAGAAAAAGGTAAGATGCACAGACGAAGAATGAAAAGAACATATTTCTTCAATTTATGTGAATTGGATGACTCCTTATGGATTATTTTTCTTTCTGTTTAAAACATACTCCTCTTACTTCTTCTTGGTTTACATTTGGATTCACCACCATCTCTTAAAAAATAAAAAGGTTATAGGTTGTTTTCCATTTCATTTACTGTCAAGTACACTGCATTTTTAAAGTTTCCTGACCAAAGTGTTGCTATATTTGGCTGCATATTGTAACTCCTCGCCGTGAGGTAAATGATCCCCCAAAAAACCTTGGCTTAAAACTCTGTGAAATGTTCTGCATTTTATGCTTGGCAAATTAATGCAAGCACCTCGTTTCCTTTCATCATTTATTCATTGGGAGCAAATGTTTTTCTCTGTATCCATGCGGAGACTTCTTCCCCTTCGGAGGACAAAGATACAGTTACCCAGGTGTAATTTTAAAAATGTTTTGGAAAGAGCTAAAGAAACACGTTATAATGGTCACACACCACACACACTCCCTTCAAATACCAGATTGAAAACATTAACTTGACACAGAGGGATGAAAATAGTTTCTGACTTGTTTTTCAATTATTGCTGAGTTTTCCATGTGAGGCAAAAAGCCTATCCGTTTTTTCCTTAGCATATTTGCATAAAGTTTTATGGAGATTACCAGTACAAGAATGCTTCGACTGTTGATCCCTTGCCAGTCAGTGTTATTCAAGGATCGGGCTCAGATATCTTCAAATACCCTGAATATCACTGAAACATTATATAACTGTGATGGAAACAGCTTTGAGTTTAATCTGTTTCAGGACTCCATAGGTTGCAAACATTCATTATAGCTCCTGCTTTTCAGAAAGTATTGAACTGACGCTGATCTTTAGAAATAAGTTTTCCATAATCAGTAGAAAATATTGTTTATGTGCTCTCAATGAGCTCCGGGTTGAATTTGCATTCTTTAGAACAGTTGCTTTCGCCAATTATCTGCAGTAACTCATCAGACTAGTCGCCAGACCTTACACAACCCCATTTAATTAAGCTGGATCGAGATCCTAACATAGACAGACTGCACTCATTGTTAAAGCCTTTCCCGAACCTTTAAATGTCTGTTGTACTAGACGTCCTCAAGACTGCATTGATCCTCTCGGGTACATTAACCTATCAATGCAGTAGGCACTGTGCATTATGATTAAGCACATGGAAAACATCCACGTTCCTCACTCGGAGGTCAGCGAGAGGCAGCTACAGTAAACCACAAAGTACAGCATGGAGCAAAGTCCTGACATTAATATTGATGAGATGGAGTTTACGCTATGCCATATCAATCATGGAGCAAAGATACCCTGATTAAGTGTGGCCGGCAGTATCGCGGGGTATTAAGCCTATGGCATATCGGGACTATATAGGTGGGTCTGAGGTATTGATTGGGACACATGGTGATATAAGGGAGATGAGGGGACAAGGAAATAGCCAGTCATTGAGGTGCAGTGTAATTAAAGTGCAGGGGGCGCTTGTGTCACTGGCGGGCTCCTTGCCACGTTTCCCATTGACTTTCAACCAGACGAGGAAGGTCACCAGCAAGGTGTTTAGAGCAATCTCCACAAATTGTTGGACTGAGGCTTGATAATCTCCAAGGCTTTAATGGATCTCAGATCTGTTTACCAAGTGAGTGCACCTTACAAAGTCATTTGGCAATTGTTTTACCCTCTAACACAATAATAGAAGTGGAATTGGCTTTTTGATCAATGACATCAGTGGTTAAGTTGATATATTCAATAAGCACGACAACCTTGAGCCTCATAGAATTACTGGGCATGTTTATGTGTGTGTCTGTGAATCACAGACAGCGATGTGGGGTCTGTATGTACTGTACTCCTGTACTGTACCAAAGAATTCTTACATTTATATGGGAGGCATTTGTTTTAATTTTATCTTTCTCTTCAGTAGTTTGACCCATAGAATATATGCCGGTAAAGAGATATTTGCATACAAAGCAAAGTGCATAATGTGATAATGTGTGCTATCTGCTCAGTGCTGCATGTTTAGCCCAAACTCCCCAGACAGCTGATTACTACATCAATATTAGCTATAATTAAAAAACTAAACTGCTGAGTGCACAGTAGTTTAAAATAGCGAGGAGAAGGATATGGAGAGTGTTCTGTACTGCCCTGTCATGTGTAAGAATTATTGAATTTTTACCAAGGCTGGGAAAAGAGAGCAGTGAGTTCGAGGAGTAAAGGGACCCTGGTCTCTCTGCTTTATAGTTGATCTGAGGGCTGTAATGTTTCCTCTGGTCTACTCTCAGGCATTAATGGTTGAATGGATAGGATTGGACATGCCTGAAGACTCAACCAGCCTCTAGATTTGCTCGCAGCAAATCTCAACAGCCTGCATCTTAAGCTCAAATAAGCACTGTGGTCACTGCCCTCCCAATAATTTGTACAACTCCCACGTGTAAAAACCCCTTTCTCATTTGTAGCTCATTTATCAGATGGTTATGCGGTCTGCTTAGACAGAGACAAACCAGAAGAGAAAGAGGGAGACAGAGAGAGAGCGGGAGGGAGACACAACCAGCCTTAAATAATTTCACTTCTATAGCAACAACTCTGACAGGAAAAATGTGACTGTAATGTACACATTATTTGAGGAGCCAATTGCTAATAGTTACAGATGGTTATTGGCAATAAGATTGGCGGAGTTCAGTATTGCAGGCTGACACGGGGAGAGGGGAAGGAGGAATGAGCAATATGGTTTCATAAGTCTTTAACAAGAACTACTTATGACTTGTTACGCCGCATTGCAGCTCAGATGCAGCTGTGAAATATCCTTCCTTTGGAGCCTTTTAAGACAGGATTCTTTTTTTCCCTGCCATTTCTTTGTCATCTTAATTTCACTGCAGCAATATCCATAATTCACAGTGCTTTTCTCGGCCTCCTTGTCTTTCCCATGTGAAAAAGTTTGGAGATGGATTCCCCCTAAGTTTCATGAAAAAAAGTGTCAGATTCTCAGGCGAACAATGAGAACACTATTACAAAACTTGGCACAGAAAAGCCTCAAAGGCCCTGGCACAAAAGCCTGTACAAATTGAGAAGATAGAAGTGCAAACTCATTAGCTTACCAGGTTCCCAATCACAGCATTTTTTATACGCTGGATGTCTCAGTCTGCCGAGCTCTCATCTGATGAGAGCCATTCTGCAGGACTTCAAAGGAGACAGTTTTGCCTTAGAACTTGTGGCTGATTTTTCCAGCGGTGATATTTTTTGTCAGAACATATATGGCGAGACATGTTCCACCTTAAAAACTCCTCTGTTCTTGTTAATAAATTTGGCTTACAACCTCCATCACCAGCTCGTGACATCCTGCCTTCTACTTCCATTTTAGTGAGCACTGAAAACTTAAGCTGAATTCATTGTTTTATATGGCCAATCGCTGTTCTGAGCCTATTTTGTACTTGCTACAGCATGACAAACTTTCTTCACTTCACTGTCTTCAAGCACTTTTGAGAGTGCACCCCTTCCAGTATAGAACTAAAAGACAGCCAAGATATTTCCCAAATGGCATGCAATACAGCACAGAAACAATACCTGACTTCGTGTTTAGGGGCAAAGGCAATTGGAAACTCGGATGAATCAGCCACTTTGATCTCGCTTCAACATGCACTTACGGTGTGGCAAATTTGAAAAGGCCAAATCTGAAATCGCAGTGGTTCAGCCTTGTAACAGGTAGAGAATGCTATATTTTTGACATGAAAATAACTGTGATGTCACCTGCCAGCACTATGCACAACAAAGCAGTGTTTGATGACACACACAAAAAAATCACAAATCCCACTGCGTGCTCTTTGTGATGCAAATGAAGCCCTTGTAAACACTTTTGACTTATCACATTTAAGCACATTTGACATTTGCTCTGCTCCTTGTTTGCTTTCAGTAAACCCAACTGGATGTCTTTGCCCCTGCCGTATCAAGTATTTAAACTGCAGTTTGAATCTTATGATTGCACTCAATCCTGGATTCATTTACCTAAGTGACTGGATTCAGAAGTGCAGCCATACGCACATACGTTCATTGCACCCCGGCTATCAATGTGCTCCACTTTTAACCGTCCCCCTGGGTACACCATATGGGTGATGTTGAAAGATATACTGCTGTCATTCGTGAGTCTGTCTTTTTTTTCTCTTTTCTTTTTTTTAATGTGCTGCCTTGCAAAGTGATGGTGTAGGTAAGATATTACCCTATTATCCCATTAAGGTTCGTACCTCAGAATCTGCAGCGTTCATTTTCAGACAGCTCGTCTCCTGCACCATTTTCATCCTGTTCCGAGAGATGCTCCTCTGTGATGCTGCACTACCATCTGCTGGGGAACCAACTGGCAAAACCAGTCGCAGCAAATACTCGACTCTCCTTCGGTCCCCTCCTCTCTGTCTCTTTCTCTCTCTATAACAAAGATTGATTTCTCTGTCTGTCACTGATGACATTGTACGACTGCTGTGTTTAAATTAGCAGCAGTCTGATAAAGGAATATAAATGAATCGAATCTCCCCAGACTTAAAATCTTACAATTCATTGACAAAATATATCGAAGTGCTTTAGCAGTTACAAAAGCCCCATTGATATGGTTTAAAATTGACAACGACCTGTGACAGCTCCCATTTATGATTGGGCTGTTGTCTGGCAGTGTACAAGAGGAGAATGCTTGACTCTGTGCACAGCAGAGACAGCCAATAGCCGCAGCTGTTTTACTCCTCTAAAAGACAGCACAACACATTATGTAATGCAATTATGCATCAACATTAATAGCAGGCAATTGTGCAGGCAACCAGCCAGCTGGGATGGGTTTATATAACTGGCAAAAATTGACAAAGAAAAGAAAAATGTACAACCTTTCCTCTAAGGAGCAAATTCACACACAGACAAACACACACATGCAGGCACACACTAACCATAAGTTATCCCTCTGTCCATGCAGTCAGCCCTGGGACAGTTTAACAAATTGCTATGACATAATTGCAATATGGCTTCCAGTATGTCACATTGTTAATCTGTATAGCTTGGCTTACATTCAGGTGCTGTATATTGAGTTCAACCATTGGTGAAAGTGCTCTCGCACAGAATCATTGAATTAAGCCTGCATGCATAAAGAAGATGGAGAATAGCTTTGAGCACTTTGTATGTACAATTAGCATAATGCCTTTAATTCTAGTATATCTGTTATTATACCCAAAGGATAGTTCGATCAGCAGACTATACACATGCCCACAGTGTTTATAATGCATGCAGCGGATAAAGGATCACTTAAACAAATATGTTAACAACAAATATTACATAAATTAACACACATTATCAAAAGCGTGTGTGTTTATTAAGAGATAGGGAAAGGTCACAGCAACGTTCTTTGTGACAAATACAGACATGTGTAATAAACAAAGCACAAATTGAGTGCAAATCCTTTCTGGCAGTAAACAGGGTACATTATGACATCAATAGTGAGATTAGTTGACAGTACACGTGATGACAAATACATAAACAAATTTAGCTTTTACATCAGTGTCTTAAATATGAGATGGGAGTTCAGTCTTAGCCATTTTGGATGTTGATGCTGAAGTTGCTGGTCGCACATATGCACAGAGACGCACAGAGAGAGAGAGAGAGAGAGAGAGAGCTAAGACTGTTTAAGGTAATGACAGCAGCATCCTGCAGTGTCTAATAACAGCTACGCTCAAGCTCCGAACGGTACTCTCACATACAAGTAAACATTTCATTCTCTGGAACTGTGGGTATACATTGAACTGAATCGATTCATGAATGTCCTGGATTGATATGTACCCTGGTTAGTGCTGTGAATAGTAATCACACCCCTTGAGAGGATAAACAGTCTCTGCTGCCACCTTGAGGTAGTAAGGGCCGCTTTGCTGGTTTATTCATCATTCTTAAAGACGTCAAGAATGTTTTCTACTCAAAGACCTGCAGCCTGCACTCCCCCTCCCTTATTTTTTTTTTTTTTACAGTTTACAGTAGACTAAACAATATTAATGCAATCTGATGCAGTAAATATACCCAAACATTCATGATTGCTTCAAAGAGGGCGTAAAACTCAGGTCTGAAGTCTCACAGGCAGGGTTTTATTTTCACTCGGCTCCAGAAGGCAGATGCACTGTGTATGCACATGCCACAGGGAAATGACTTGCAATCTAAACAGCTGTAAATTTCAGCTGTAGCGCGGCCTCGGCCTATGTCAAGATTTTATAACTCAGATTGATTGGAATTATATAATGCTTGCCGTGACTGACTGACTCCACTCAATGGATCTGTAAAAGGAAAAGCATCATGCAGGAGCTCAGGGTCGTAAAGAAGCCGTGATAGATAAAGGCGGGTTCACTGGGGGCTGAAGGGACCACTGCCGACTGACGCAGAAAAATCTGTCTGTGTTAGCGATTTTGGAACTGCACGGGGAACATTTTATTTCCCAGAATGTAACACATGGTGAATCACTTTTTATTTTTGGATGTGTGGATCTTATACTGTCTACTTCAGACATGCCCTGCTACTCATTCTCTCTTTAACAACTGGGCACCAACCTGTGCAACCTCACTCTTCTGCCATGGACCACTGAGCATATCTTCTGCAAAAACTGTAGGTTAAGCAGCAGCTATTATTCAATTTTCAGGATTTTGATTTCAGATGCACTGCAGTTCACTATGGGTTGTTTTCTATAAAAGTGTTGTGCAAGTTAATGTAGTGTAGTAAAAGAGTATTTGTTAAATGGATTGGAAAACCAAGCCCTCAAAGGCTGAATGCCAGACTCTTAAATAACAAACAGCAAGCTCCTCTAATTCAAGTAAGGTAAACCTGCTGAGAGGCGGCTTTACAAGGTGCTGATCATTAAAATCCTGCTAACTGGGGTTTTAGGATTTTTTCACAGAGGGGAGCCAAGAGGCAACAAGTCCAATAGTGTTTACTGGAATTAGTCCCATGAATGTGAACTTTTCTAAAGCTTAACATTAACCATTTAAACTGAAATGAGGTTTAATGCTTATGGTTATGTCTCGTGAATCATCTATAAAAGCTATCGATACAAGGCCCTAAAGATACTGATTGCTTTAAGGATGCAGACTGGGCAGCTTTTCTATCAGGCAACGGCCACACAGACACTTTGACGTAGAACACTGTAAATTCACACAATCAATTATAACTTGTGATTACATTGCAAACATTTGTTAGCTTCTTAGTATGCTTTACATGATATTACATTCATTTGGCAAATGCTTTTGTCCAGTATTCCCAGCATGCATTGTGTTTGAGTTAACACTCCAGAATCCTTTGAATGAAGTTACATGATGGAGACTTGTAGCGTGTCTTTTCATGAATGTATCTTAGCTGAGTCATGGGTCTGAGATCTTAGCATCCATTTCAACACTTACTCCCACAATCATTAGTCACCTTAGCCGCAGATGTACAGTCTACTTATGCTCATCTGAATGTGGCTGTTCATATCTCATCAAAAGCTTCACTAATCAGGATGTGTGTGACTAAACCTGAAAATTATTCTTGAGATAATTACTGGAACTGGAATCTATTAAGACAAGTCAATATGGCATAACCTAATATTTATGACGTGTATTGAACCTGGTAAATTGACTCTGTGAGTCATTTTTAAAGTGTAGGAGAGTGAATGTTTTTTACTAACTGACACACATTGTTAAAAGGAGCATGCACAACGCAGTAGGGCTTCTACATTTTAGCAACTGTGTCACTAGATTTGACATCTTTTCAGAGACCTTTAGACCTAGACCATAGACCTTTTTGGGGGGGGCATATAATATGTACTTTACTTTGAGGAGAGTAACTTACAGCTCGATGAATCTGCAGACCCCCTGCTTGCTGCTGAGGCTCAGCTGCGTCCTGTGATTCTAAAATACATAAAGTAGGCTAGCCTAGTTTTGTTTCTAGCTCAAAGAATGTTTTGTCTTTCTTTTTTGACAGTGAATATGTAACTAGCACATTATTACATTTCTTTTTATTTCATCGCAGTATTTTAAGAAGAAGATTAGAATCTAAATGTGAAATGTTGGTTTAGTTATAATTCAGTACATTATGCATTTTTTTGACTATGATTCATTGCTATGAACATTTTTTCCACCCTCTCAGCTCTACAAGTGCATGGGATGGGTTAACTAGGGATAAGGAAATGGTGGTATAATTTTGAAAAATACTAGTTATTCCTTGAGCCTAATCATCAACATAGAAGTGGTAATGATTGTTGAAACAGCTCTTCGGGTCTAGACAATTGTGTGTATATAGCACATTTGATTAAAATTAAACTCAATGTTCTTTATATTAAAATGCATGTGCAAACATCCATTAATGTTATTAATAATAAATGAATGATGATGTTGTTCTAAGTAATCAGATAAATTGGGTAATGCTATGGTAATGCTCCTATCTGTATCTGTATTATTATAAGAGCATAACTGGTCTCAAACAGCTCTTACGTGTCATTTTCATATGCAGTTTCAGTGAAGGATGCTGTAAATGCTAAATGATTAGCATACTTTTATCACAAAAGACCACAAGAGGGCAGATGTGGATCACAAGTACAAACCAAGACACTAAATTCATCCACTACACCTCTGGGCTGTAAAAGACAACTGTTTAACTGTATGTAATGTTTTCTTGAAATGTGTTGATGGAAGACATTGCTGACCTCTTTTCTCGCACCCTACCCTTGCAGGACTATGTAATGTCAGCTGCAGGAGATCAGCACCACAGACAGAGACACACTTCACCTCAGGACCCTGGAGAGCGCCTGGCTGGGACTCAGTGGATGATGAAGCTTTTTACTTACTGTTTAAAGCGGACATAAGATGCATTCGTGGTCACTCACAAGTCACACTAAGTATGTAATTAACGGGTGTGTGAAAAATAAGGTCAAGAGGACTGTTTTACACCATGTTGCCCTACAAAGCCATAGGTCAATTTCCTGAAGAAACTAATACATGTAAGGTGAATGTTACAGTTTGTCATGTTGTCTTTGTGGGACATTGTGGTTGTCATACTTTGATAAGTTACCTCCTCCTGGCACATGGTGGCCAGATCCAAAAGCCAAAGCCACATCCTGGCTACTCACGCTCGCTGGGACCAGATGAGACAGTACATGACAATTCAAGGAGGGGCAGCTATCTGGGAATTCCTCAAACTCAACGGGGGAGTTGGGGGAGAAGAAGGAGGGTTTCTCAATCACTCGCCCACGACAACGAGGATGACGTCACTGCGCTTACGTCAGACGGGGGTTTAAAAAAGGGAAGGGGCGGTACTTAACCCTTTGCAGAAGCTGTAAGTCTGTACGGTGAAGCGTGTAGTATCAGCGCAATGTACGTGTATTAACCTTCTCTGGCTCTAGTTTGGTCCTCTAGAAAGCACGATGACCTCATAGAATGTTCGATCATCTACACGAGGGGAATCGATTCGATCTGAGGCACGTTCGCTGCTCTGATTGGCTGAGGCACGTTCGCTGGGCAACAGCTCACGGGCTCGTGACCGCTTATCCTTCAATTTCAATTAAATATGCAGACCAGAAACCCCCCATTGTGACTCCAAGGACCGACACTTGGTGTTTAAAATATGCAAACATTAAGTAACCCAACTCTGATATTGTTGAATTGTTTTAGTATAAAATATACTGGATCGACTGACTTTATAGCCTACATCTGTCTTTTCAAAGCAGCCATTAACTTCCCTATAGCTGGTCCAAAAAAATCAATACAACACAGTCTTAATGCTTAAAGCTGAATCAACCCACCCCCATCTCTTACACAAAATGGTATCACCCTCTGATCACATTCCTGTTTCAGTGCAGTTCTATGCGTGTCACTAATAGCACTTTGCACACACCACACAGAAGTGGGATAGTTGATTTTAAACGTCTTCCACCTCCTGAGAGTTTATAGTCTACTTTATAAAACAACTGTTGCAATAAGCTATATGACTATATTATACACAGATATAGGATGATGCTTACATTTCTTAATGAGAGCCAAAAAGAGTGGTGCCAGTTTTCGGTGCAAGGGGTGGGGTATCAAAGCTGAATTCAAAATGGAGACACACAAGAACCCAACAGTCAAGTTGGTCCAGTAGTCTAAAGTACATGCTAGTTTTATTTTCATTTATATTAGCATATTAGCATTATCTCACGTATTTAGTGTGTACAACTAATTGCATCCAGATTACAAACAAAAAGTCCATATTATTGTACTTGATGACATTTCTTTCTTTAATACTATTTTCCTTGCTGTAGCAGTTGACTTCATTCCAGAAGTCAGCAAGTGGAGGGAGCCAGTGATGATGGGAGAGAGAGAGAGAGAGAGAGAGAGAGAGAGAGAGAGAGAGGCGGTGGGGGTGGGGGGGTGGGGGGACGTGATAGTCTCAGCCGCACCGTGAAGGGGGCCGTCCCTGTTGGTGGAGATCAGCCCGAGGAAGGCCCACCTAGTGATCATTTGAAATTATCTCCCATTTAGACGATAGTGTGACGCGACTGTGCGGCTGAATCATAAGGGGATACGTTGAAACCGAATTGTAAATAGGTAAGGACTCTTTTTTCCATCGCATTCCTTTCTTATCGTTATTTGGAAACATATAGAGGTCACCACCATTTGAGGACCATGCATGTGAGCGTCGTCATTGGCAGGCACTGGTTTGCACCGTGCCTAAAATAACTTAAAGCTCTTGACCAACATTCTGTATATTTCTCTTGCTTTCCGAATCAGATTATTATTATATTTGTGTCTGGGAGATAATGTAAAGGCAAAGAAATGCATGCACAGATGCAAGCTTGAGAAATTATCCACATCGTGAAGTGGTACATGTAGTAATTTAACACTTGACCTGCATCATCCAGGATGGGACTGACGGATGAGTGTCTGGTGCGAGAATTTAATTCGAGTTAGTCTGCAGCCTTGTCTGTTTTTATTCTGATGTTTCCCTATTGTGATCGGACAAAAAAAAAAACACATCCAAACTATTCTACGTTAAAACCGTGACGCGTGCAAATATCATAGTGTAGATCGTGCTTCCCTTCCCCCAGCAACGTTGTGTAGCTCTTTGCGATACATGCCACCTTCCAGTATAATATGCTGTACCGACCGTTAAAAAGGCCTGCGCCTTTTTTCCCATGGGCAGCCCTGTCATCTCGCCGCCATCGAGAGTAGCATTACAGGGGAGCAATAATTAATGAGCGCTTCCACAATTAACCATTTCATTGAAATGATTTTGCCTTTGAATATTTCATGCTTTGAGGAGGATGTGAAAAGGGGGTTGAATGCATGAGTGAACAAGGGTTTTTACTACAGCTTGATGGCTGGACTGCAGCTGGCAGGATCTACCACATGAGGCGGTGCTGCCTTTTTTGACTAATGGAGGATCTTATAATATACTACAGAAATCCATAGAACTTTGTAGAAAAACTCGAGAATACAATAGGGCAACTGCTTATTAAGAATAAGAGATATTAGATGTCACACATGCATATCATTAAGATCAAATGCACCTGTACACAGTGACAGCAGTGATGGTGACTGACAGCAGGTATGGTCCATCTCTCCACAGCAGCTCGGCCAAGATGGATGTGTTTATGAAGGGTTTGTCTAGAGCGAAAGAGGGGATGGCTGTGGCCGCAGAGAAGACCAAGGAAGGAGTTGCTGTTGCGGCTGAAAAGACTAAAGAAGGGGTTATGTTTGTAGGTAAGACGATCACCAATGTCTGTTTGCAGGTTATTTTATGTGCAAATCATACACAGGCCCATTGAGCCTGCTAATGTTCCAGCCATATGCAGGAGCAGCAGCAACTCAGCAGAGAGAATATTTTATGGCTTAGGTCATGCAGCATTCACATATGTCTTGGAACAAATGGTGAAATTATACAATAACCTTTCCTTTATTGGCACAATAAATAGCAGGCAGCAGGCTGCATGTATTGCTTAGTTTTGAACCTCATTGTTCACCGTCATAATACAGCTAGATGACAGTATTACACCTTCCACAGTATAACTACAGTCATTTTATACACTATGTGTGATGTAAGTGAAAATTATGTGTGTACATGCATGATAAGTACAACTGAATGCATTCCTTTGGTAAATTAAGAGTAGTATATTAAAACAGCTGTAACTTAATTAATCAGTCAGTCTGACAGTTGATGAATATCTTTGATTTACTTATGCAGGCTGATGCCATATTTAAAGAATCAGCTATCTTACCCTTTGTATCAAAGTTAACAATCTAATATTTACTTATTACTTTAGTTATTTATGTGTAGTTTTATAAAGGATACAAGGGTAAGGAGTTATTTTCATGTGGATGATGATGAGGTCCCGAATGTCCTTATGCCCTCTCGTCTGACTTGACTAGGCTACAGGCAGGCGATTGGAACAGGGGTGGGGGTGGGGCAGTAGGATGGTCGGAGCAGTTTTTGCAACATGTCCATGCATTGGAATCAGCAGCAGATTGTAAAACAGTCCCAGCCGGCAGGACTCCTGGAGACAAACTGGATAAAGGTCTCTGTTTTTGTCTTTTATGGTGCATCTCGAGTTGTAATGGACACCCATACAGACATCTGTGCAGATTAGTGCCTCTGTGTCACAATTTTAACAATACAATGCCAAGTGTGTGCCTTAGATCACTGGCCCAGTCTATGTCACTTTCTTTAGATCATTTTTAAATTTAAATAAAGACATGTGACATGGAGGTAGAACGAGGTTAGCAAGCAGCTGGGCAAAGGTACGGTGGAAACTGACAAAAACCTTGTTTCAATCTCTTTGATCATCTTTTTAAAAAAGACCAACTTTCACAGTCATCACATTACTGTTTTTCACAGCTTCATTTAAAAGGCAGTATCATGCATAATTTAATAATCTGTGTTGCTGGGTAATAATTCACGATTACTCTTTAATGGTGTCAAATCATTATGAAAAAAATGAAATTGTAATGGCATTATAACCAATGCTAACCAGTTCTTTTGTCTAAATATTTTATACTAAGCCCCATAAATTCAAATGTTCAATGATATCGACCATATTTTAGAGAACTTAATATGGGTTCTCTAGTTTAGGTCTTAATATGTCTAATGATTATTTTAAGTAGCAATTCATCTATATATTATTTTATTGATTATTTACCATTTAGTCTATAAAATGTTTGAACATAACAAGAAATTCTTATCACATTCCATGGAGTCCATGGAGGCTGCTTGTTTTGTTCAACTAACAGTCCAAATCCCAAAGAGTTGCATAAGATAAAAAAAAAAGCAGAGAATGGCCCCAGTTGAGATACTAAGGTTAATAAAGTGTGATGAACATGATTTGTTTTATTATATTTAATGTGATTTTATGTATTTCACCAACTGCATATCTATAATTCGAAACACCACAATGTTTGTGAAAAATCATGTCTTCCATATTGGCCAGCTCTGTTAGGGGTGAATGGTGGAGTGCTAGATGACTCAGGGGTCTCAAAGCTGGACCCAGGCCCTGGAACCTGCCAGCCATTACAGATATTTTTTTTGTCAGTTGTTGAGCTGTTGGCAGAGTGCCCAGATTTCCTGTGACACCCCTGCTGGTGGTTCACAGTATGCTTTGGATGCATTCAAGTGTGTTGGATGTTTAAGAAGTTGTCAGATGTATCTGCATTGAGATGAAATCCAGTAACGTTACAAATGTAACACTGTGTGCCTGTCACTCATCACAAGAGCCAAAACATGTCAGGATGCAATCAAAAACACGTGCAGGCTCATTTTGGTGTTCTCGATGGCATGTCTCATCTTGCTTTTTGCCTTCGTGACACAGGGAGGGAAAGGAGCGTTTCTGTATCTTCTCTGTGCTGCTTGTTGAGCATGGTGGTGCCCTAGAAAGCTGCGTATGATTTGCTTGAAGGCTCGTCTTGGAGGAGGGGTGAGAGTGATCTGATAGGTCTGTGGCCTACCTTTTGACAGCTGCCGCTGCTGCAGTCCGCCCACCCAGCTGAGCTGAGCAGTCAGCCTGAGTAAGGCAAGAATGAGAGCCGGAAGTGAGAAAACCCTGCTGTACGAGATGCCATTTAATGTCACAAGTAATTCATTGAGCATCTATGTGCTCTGCCTACTATAACACAGTGGAGTACTTACACAGTGCTACTTTAAACTGAATGTTATTACTTTTGTAACACCATAACAGCGGCAGCATAAGAGCTCATTTGTACAGTTTAATTTACACAATCCTAATGAGCTTGAAATAAAAATTATCATTAAAATACTATCTTTGTTAAATTAAACTGTAATTATTAATATTACCAAATTCTGACCCGCAGCTATTATCCATTTGTGTTACTGTCGACATAGTGCTGTAGCATTTCACCAAAGCCGATGCTTAGTGGATGCATTCCTCAGATGTATGTTTTGCTTTGAGGCTCGCCTTTTGTAGTGGCAGTTATGCACTTTATCATCATTTCGTCTCTCCTCGGTAAGCCTTTAAAGGCCCTTAAGGACCTATAAGGCATGCGACTGCTGCACAATAGAGAGGATGACAAGGCTTGAGTGATCAGGACCAGTGGGCATACAGTAGATTGCCCAAACAGCTCGATGGAGTACAGTATAGCTTGATGATATCTGCCAAAGGTCAGAGAATTGAACAGAACAATGCAGAGTTTGATAACTCCTCACAATAAAAGTACCAAGAAACCAAAGTGCTGCAGCTGGGATTGTTCTCTAGTACCTATGGATCTGTGGCCAACTGAATAAAAGAAATAAAATTGATATTGTATTACTTTTTTGAAAACTAACTGGTTGGTGTTGACAGTTCAAAGTTAATCATGTTACATGTCACAGTATATCATTTGAGCAGTTATGAACAGGATGCTGCAGTGCTGTATCTTTGAATTAATACTGCATTTTGTCATGTCGGGCTACTGTAGCATCAGTGTTTCATGCTGTCAGGTAGATGAAATTTAACCTGTCAAGCTGGAAAAATAGCTGGTAGCTCAGAAATGGTGCAAGGCAGGCTCCAAGTCTGACTGCAAATACTTTTGTTAATTTCACAATGAAATTAACAAAAGTGCTTCAGTGGTTAGTTTCAGGCAAGTGAAGTACAGACAAAAACCACACACCTTCTCTAACACGTTGTTTTTTGTTGTTAATTCAGGTAACAAGGCCAAAGACAGCGTGGGCACAGGTGAGTGAACTGTAGCAGTAAGAAGCTTAGATTCATTACAGTGATGAGACACGTACTCCTAACTGGAAAATGCCGGGGGGGGTTGTGTGTTGTAGAGGGTATGTGTAAGGAGTGATTATGTACGATAATCAATTGAGAAACAAAAGAGGGCTAACATCATGTGCATGCTTTTAATCTGTTGAGATAATGTTACATGCGTGTGTGTACATGATTGTGTGTGTGTGTGTGTCTCTGCAGTGGCTGAGAGGACCACTGGAGCAGTTGGGAACATTGTTGCTGCCACCGGCCTGGGGAAAAAGGACGAGTTCCCTACTGACATGAATGTACGTACATTATTCCGGTCACGGTCAGCTCCACACCGTTTTAGTGTCATCAGTGTGTTCCTGTTATCAGACAAAGTGTTTAAGTGTGTTCATGCACACCCACAGGAAATCAGTTGGCCCTCATGATTTGCGATTGACATGTTGCAAATTTGCATATTTAAAAGTTTAATATAATATATATCTGTGGTCAGTATTGCATTTTATTGGATTTTTGAGTATATACAACTAGGGCTGCATCCATCTATATATTTTTGATTGATATAATAGTAACTATTTTATCTGAGTAATTGCTTCAGTTTAATACTTTAAATATTTTAAACCTTCTCAGAGGGTAATAATAGGTCATAGACAGTACAATAATGGTTTTGCAACTTTACCTAACCCATACATCTTCTTATATAATGTAAAGATATGGTAGCGCTGCAGATATACTAAATAACAAGAGGCATTCAAAGACATCCTTTGTGCTCCAAATTGACAAATGGTTATTTAAAAGGGCATTTCGGCAATTTAATGTCTGACTTCCACAAAGTTGGTGACTCACAGGACAAAGATGTGACAGTGCAGCTCTAAAAACAGAGGATCCTACATTCCCCACAATGCAACCCAATGGTGTCTTTCTTTATAAGGTCCATGCCTGGTAAACACCCTGTTCCCAAACAGTGAAAGACAAAAGGAAACATCAGTTGGCTACTTGCTGTATGTTGTGTTCATTAAAGTCTGGACAGCATGGTCATTGTTCCCGAGCCAGATTTACAACAGGAATAAGGTTGATGAATCTGCGTTACTCTAAAACAGTTACTAGTCCACATATCATCTGTTTTATTCATCTGCTGTCAGCAAGGACATTTACTGTACCTAAATGTATCTTACCAGAGGAAACGGGATCTTTTTTTTATGCTGCAGTAATTTACTTGTGTGTCAAGTTAAAAACATGTTTCTCATCTCTGCTTTATCGCAAGAATTGAAGAGAACGCTCCACTGCGTGACTCTGCTTCAAAATATAAACGGAAAACTTAAGTGGATTAAGGCTTTGTTTTACACTTGTTTTATTGGAGGAATCTTGAGAGTTCCTGAGGATGAATTGTTGCTCCACACAGTCTGCTTTGCACACAGTCTATAATATACATAGCCTCTTTAACTGTTCAGGTGCTTTTAAATTGTCTAAACTATCTCTCTGCGGGACTATCAGCTCTCTTCAACACTCAATTGTGCTGTTATTGTAATCTGACCACCTAAAAATCTCTGCTAATGTCACATCTCACATCAGTTTGTACACACTGTGATGCTGTAGATGCGAGGCGAGAGCTGGAACATTTTGGCTTTCCACAAACATAGAGCATGGGAACATAGCATATATGAACATATAGACCAAGCTTGGAAATTAGAGTGATCTTTATTAAATGGTCTGTTCATGCAATGTCAGCATGTTGACATTTTGTCTATCTCTGTCAGACTGTCCCCATCTTAGGACAGAGGTCCCCATCCTGTCCTAAGCCTTCATCCTTCAGAGTTGGACCCTCTCCACTTAATTTCTAATCTAGTAAATCTGATAGCCTGCTCTAATAGGCTTCTGGAAGGCACTGTCTGAATGATAAAACTATTCATTTTAACACCATGACAACAGATTGTTAAACTGTTGATAGCACATGTGCAGCGCTACTTTTTGTTCAGCTCTAGCTCAGCCTGGGCTCTACATCCACACTGATAAACTGCATGCTGCAGGTATTTTAAAGACACACTGGCCAGTATTTTTGCAATTTAAAGTTGCACTTACTCAACCATTCACACAATAATATATTTCACTTTACAAAAACATGATTTTAAATTATCTTTTTAAGTGAGACCACATGGTCTGAACAGGAGGCTTCTCTTGTGCTCAAGCCTTGACTGAATTCAAATCAGACACAAAACTTCCTCCTCTGTTATAACCACATAAACAGCCTTTTTCATGTTCACGTTTTCTCAGGCAATGATCCCCCTGATTAGGTCTTTATGGTTGTTTCCCATTGTTAGCATTTAAGGCCATGCTAATCATGTCGGTGGGCCTAAAGCACACCAGCTTGATACAGTACAGAGGATTATGGTCTGTTCTTCTCTGACCTAATTGACTTGATTAGTGATGGGTTTATAAATAAATGTGCGGTCCCAGTGACCCACTAGCTTTGTTTTCAGGGCTTGTAGTAGCAGGTATAGCAATAACGGGGAACTGTCTGATTCAGGAACTCTCAGAAGGAGACACAGTTTGTTTACACCTACTGTGGTTAATGCACAGTGTCAAGATATCAGAGTTTTAGATTAGGTTTTCAGTGTTACCTAAATATTAAGGTTGGTGAAATTCTATATTTTTCTCATTGTCAATGAAAACCAAGAAAAGACCCAAACCAACAATGATTTGATCCTCCCAACAAGTCTTCTTATCCAAAGCCTGATATTCCTGTGTGCTTCCATTGTTGTCCAAAAGACACATTAGTGAGCCACATTGCATTTGGTGACATACTCCTTCAACCCACATACACCGTCCTGCTTCTGTAGAGACTCTCTAGAGCACCAAACGTCTATTAGTCTGTAGCTAAAAATAGTGCCCAATAACACATTACCTCCTGTTTTTTTTATGAACCTATTTTTAAAGTCTTACGTCTTCAAACTAACTGCATAGGTGCGAGACTTACTGAGAGACTGGTTTTGGTGTTTTTAACCCCAGTTTTTGCGTCTTCTTCTATTACTATCACATAATCCGGTTTTACAAATATTAAATAACTGGCAAACAAGGCCGTGCTAGTGGCTCTGTGAGGCTGTACTTTGGCTGTGTGTGTTTGGGCTAAATGTCAACATATGTGCTCACAATGAAAATGCTAATTGATGTAAAGCAGGTGTAATGTTAAGGTTCGACATCGTAGTTTAATATGTTAGCATACCAACACTTGCTAATTAGTTTGCACACATTTGAACATAAATCAAAATATTGAACACATTTTTGACCTGATGATGGTGCCATATGAAAAGGGAATATCCAGAGTTATTACGATTTATCCCGAGGGGCACATGAATGTCTGTACCACATTTTATGGAAATAAGAAGATATTTCAGTCTGGAGTGGTGGAAAAGACATTGCTATCCCTAGAGCTAAAACCCACAAGGTCATTTAACAACACTTGTTACTGTTCTGAAGGTATTTCCTGGATCCTCTGAATGAAAGAATATTCTGTTACCTGCACAATAAAAAAGATTTTTAACCCGGTTCCCCAGTTGCAATTCTGTTTCCGAATCCAAATAAAGATGGTAGCCGGAAATGACAGAAGTCCTTGCTCTAACATACAGATTTATGTCACTTATATTTGTGTATATTGATGCTACTTTCTATAATATTCCATTTTTTGGATTAGGAACTACAATAAAAAAAATCTTTATTAATGTGCAACAGACAGATCCTGAGAAAACCTTCAGAACAGAGGTGTTAAACCACCTTCTGGGTTTTTCAAAGATCGTCTGGTATTTATTGTTCAGAAAATTGAATGCTTAGCTCTGTGACACGAATGCAATGATGAAACATGAAAGGCATATAACCCAGAGTAACAACAGCCTTATCCTTTAAGTTCATGTTTACTACAAATATGTATAGTTGCTTCTGTTACAGTAGATCTTTTCTTTCTCCCTCTCTCTGCAGCCTGAGGAGTATGGGCAGGAGGCCATGGAGGGCCAGGGAGAGGCAATGCTGGAGCCAGAAGGGGAGACATATGATGAGACCCAGCAGGTAATCAGCCTACGCGACACAAAGCACATACATGTCTCTGTTCTACATTAAAGCGTCTTGTGTCTCTGGGTTTAAATTGAACTATATGGTTTTATTGCAAATAGCTTTTTGTATGTTTTGTAAAAAAGTACTGCAGTCAGGGAGGAGTCCATTCACTTACAGTAGATGGAGGCTCATCAGTATTCACCAGCTGTGCATGGTCACACATTTCAGCTGTATTGCATTTGAATAGCGCTCCACACTTGGCCTCCACTTCTGTCCCACACAAACATTCCCTCTCACGCTGAGGTAATTCTGAAAATGACAACAGAGAGCTTAACAAGCCAATTGCCACATAGCAAGTACAGTGAATATAGCACCACCTACCTACACAGAGCATTGGTTGTGTGTCGGTGTGTGTGCGTGGAGGAAGGATGTGAGTCTGACACAGATGGTTATTTTTGGAATTTGGCTGTCAGGGGCGAGACACACTGTGCATAACCTATTGCCTTGAAAACAGGTTTTAAATAGCTAAGAGTAAATAAAAATATCACACAATGCACAGAATGTTGAAAGGATTGTTTACTAGTATGTAAAATGATTTAAGGCACAACACAAGTTATGTTTTTGAAGCCTTTTGTATTCTCACCGAATATTAAACTACGCAGAATATTCTGCTTTCAGTTTAAGGAAAATTTCATTTGAGATCCTAATAATGTTCAATTTACTCAGTGCATTTGGTCGGATTTTCTTTCCATTCCTGCTTACAGCCTCCATCAGTGGATTATTGCGTTAATCCGTTAAAGGAATAAAACGGAGATATTCCGTAAGATGCAAATTAAAAGTGAATTTCTCAGAGGCAGTAGCTTGGGTCATCCATGTCCTCCTCCATCTCTCCCCTACTCCTCCGCATCTCTTGCCCCTCCCCCATCCTTTGCTACACCAGCGATATGCGAGCGCCGTCTGAATGGGTGTGGTGATGACGCGCTCTGCCTCCATGCATTGTGGGTAATGTCAGGGTCTCCCTGCAATGCTGTAAATATGGAGTCAAGAGTGCTGCAGAGTGAAGCAGGCCTTCTCAGGGAGGATTTGGAGATAAAAATCCATCTCACCCAGTATCACTCTTGGTTTCACCAGATGACCTAAGACTATAGCACATTCCTGGAGGCTGTGTTTTTTTTTTTTTTATGATCATGTGCGTGGAGGAGGCGTATGCAGGTTTACAAGGATGCTGGGAATGTGCTCACGACTCCTGGTGTTGGTGTAGGCTTGTGCTGCCCTCTGCAGGCTTGAGAGAGATACTGAATCAGCAATTTACAGCTGTGATGGAGTGACATCATGTGTTACCATAAGCTCTCTGCCATGTATTCTTCTTAAACTGATTTAAGTTGAATTTCATGTGTTTAAGTTGTAATTCCAGCCTCGCTCTGTTAAATTTAACCTTGAGCTTCTCTGTGCTGCAGATATGACCTGCCTGTTCCTCTAATATCGCTTCTGCTTTTTCCCAGGAGAGCCAGGACTACGAGCCAGAAGCATAAAAGCATCAGTCCAAGCCACCATCCAACCAGCAGCACAATAATATTTCTAAAGATAAAAAGGACAAACGCTGAAACTATTACAATTATACTCCCGTTGCAAAAAAACAACAAAAAAGAAGCATTCCCACTGAAAAATGTTCTTCCTTCAAGACAAATCTTTTATTATATATTGTAAATGTCATGTTATTAATGTAATGTGTCGGGTGTAGGTATTTATTAAGATGTAAGATTTGTCCTCTCTGTCTCATTTCCTTGATTCCCTCCCAATGAAATGAGACCAGAGCCAGGGCTTGTGACTTTGTGCTTGTGTGTATCTGTATTTAGAAACGTGCAATAGATGTTCATCATCTTCCAATGAGACTTGGGAGTGGAAAAAAATAAATATGTCCGGTTGCAAGCAGATATGAAAACAGTAATATCCTCTTAAGTGTCGACAATGCCTGTTTGTGGGTTCTTTCTTTTTGCATTTCTTTGGAGATTTATTTAAACATTTTTGAAGTAAGAGTTTTTTACATTGTATCTTTATAGTTGCTTGTGAAATCATTCCAGTAAACTATCTGTTAGAAATGGACAGAGTATACATGTTTGTGTGTGTGTGCGTGTGTGTGATTATCTGTACTGAAGATTTTAACAAGTTAAAGTCAATATATTATGTCTTGAAATCATAATGGTTGTCACATCAATATGTGCTTTAAATTGCAGGACTTGTCAATATAAAGGTTTATGTGTTAAGCCAGACATACATTCCTCTGTAAATAAAAAGTAAAAAAAAGAAACCACCTGTTAGTGTTGTTTGATAATATTTAAACTCACTTTTGGCATTGATAACTCATTAGATTTTAAACCTCTTGTAACCAGTTCTGTTTTTTTCTGCCTGTTGGTCTAAATGAGGATCTGTTGTGCATCGTCCTCGCATGTTTCCTTTTTTGCTCACTCTTGTCTGGGAGTTGATTACAGGATGTGTGAAATCTGCTGAGCGGGCTCTGGCCCTTTGGCAGGACGCTGCCATAGTTGGGATGCCAGTCTGATCGGGCCTCTTTGGGTGGGTTTTGTTTGGGTTAATCCGGCTGGAACGTGCAGGCTCGGTTGTGTCGGGCTCAAACAGAGGGTATTAAACAGCAGACCCCGCTGCTGTTGGCTCAGACGGATGTGTGCAGGGACAAAGACAGGAGCCATGGCCTCGTTTAAGAAGTCCTTTGAGAGCCTGAAAAGCACGAGCCACTCGGCCGCAAAGGGAGTCACAGACACTGCAGGTACAGAACTACAGTTATAAGATAACACAGAGCCGTAAAGTCTGGCAGACAGAGAAAAGGCTTTTATTTTTACCATGGCTTGTCTTTCTTAGTTTAAAAAACGAACTTGATGGATTAAACACAACGATAAATCATGGACAATTTTCTTTAACATGTAGGCTAAAGGACGTTGAGATCATTTTAGAGTTTTTACAATGAGTTGACGTAAAAAGCAAAAGCGGTAACTGCACTAGTTTCCCTCCCCCTGAGGTCAGACACTGTAAATCCATGTGTTGTGTTTCCAGTGCAGGCAGCTCAAGAGGCTGTGCAGCAGGTGGCAGACTCCTCCAAAGAAACAGCCAACATGGGTAAAGTGCACACTCTTCTATCTTTGAAGCTTCATTATGTGTCAATGGATATATTATTATGAGTAGATAGGAGTTAGAGTAACTCAAGCTGTCAGAGGATTTAAAAAAGCTGCTCTCATCTCTCAGTTAATACTGGAATTACTATAATCATCATCATTTCATTCACTCAAATTTAGCTCAGCTGAGAGTGCTTTTAGAGGCTGAATCCTCAAAATGCTGCAGGAATGGAATGATAACCTAAATTAAATGTTTTGGATATGGGCTTTTAGATATACACACGTAAAATATATGCTTACACACCTAAGTTTGCATGTGAGTTGATAACAGAAGTTTGATAATCAAGCTTTCTTCAGCCTAATGATTTGTGTTGTTTTTCACTTTCTGAATGTTTATCTTCTGCTTCACTCTGACTCTTTCAAGCTGCTCAAGAAGCTGGCAGACAGACTCAATCAGCCATAGGAAAAGCTGCGGACAAGGCCACGGACACCATCAAGGAGTTTGGACAGAAAATGGACACCAAGTGATCCCTGAAAAAAATGAACAATTCTAGCTGAAACACTGGAGTCAACTTGTTTCGCCATCCATAGAGATAATGTTCGGATGGAAGAATGTTGGCATCAGAAAACCTGAAACCTATATATATATCCAAAGCTAACATTCCAAAAGATATCTTTATAGTCTTTTTATTTCTTATTTTACTCTCCCCTCACCTTTTTCCATTTATGTTTATTGCTTTATTATATAATTTCATTATATGTGACTATTTTGGGAAATAAAAACAGATACCAAATTGTTTCTCAGGCTTTTAAAATGTGATATCCTGCTACACACAGTAGAGATAACACTGCTAGCAGCTGCAGAAGTACTCTGTCTGTGCTGCATCCTGTTGTTTGGAGCTCATCAACACATCACCACAGTCATTATTACCAACACATTGCTGAAAAGATGGCCTTTGGCAGGCCGATGGCTCCTGATGAGAATATGATCAGAGCTTGTCTACCTTGGCCCTCAGCAGCACGCCTCCCTCCAACACACTACAGTGGTTGCTAGGCAACAGTGCTCTCTGGCGGCCGGGGATTGGTGGATGCCTTTGAATTAACTGTGAGAATACTTCTGTCAGTACACAATGTTCTGGCCAAATGCAGCCCACTGCTACAGTAAAACCGAGACAGGGAAGATTCTCAAAAATCTGTGATATATATATATAATATCCTCTACAATCACTTGAGGCGAGCAGAATCACAGAGGTTCCAGAGAATGGGAGGGTGGGTGGAATGACTATAAAAGACGTGGTGGTTTCACAGGTGTTTGTTTGTGTGGGAGTTGCAGTTCTGCTTCCTCCAGGCTCCTTCAGCTGATACCCCCACTCATGTACTTCCATTGCTGCAGCAGAACACTCACTTTTACTAATATTTCACACATTTCATCGACAAAACACCTGGGTTTGCATTACTTTTCTGGTCCTGTAATGAGATCAAGATAGAGATAGAGATAAAGTGATCTGCCTCCACAAAACAAAGTTTTGGGGAAGTGCCTTTTTTTAAAATCTTTTTTGATTGCATATTGATTTATTCACACTGAACGTAGTCAAACTCTTCTCTTCTCTTTACTCTTCTAAATATGTCTCCAGCAAAGCCAGTCTACCAATTCACAAGTTCATCTCTCTGCATGCAGTTGCCATTGTGTTGCTATGAGAAACTGCAGTTAATTACTATGATTTACTGATGATCAGAGAGCTGAACATAGATTTTGTCATTACCACACACTGCCAGAACCCGACCGTGGTTTCCAGGGAAACTGGAAATGTGAAGCTTTTCAATAGACACAGCCACAGCTTAAAGAGCAAGGACTGCCTAAGATAGATTCTTCTAGAGACAAACCTGTAGCCGCTGCATTCACTATCAATCAACAGGGGAGATACACGGACAGATGCAGGTCTCGATCAACGGTGAGATTTGCCATGTTTGACCCAAATTTGAGAGAGAGTTATGGAGAGACTTCAGTCTGACTTAGACTGCTGAGGTATGTCAGTTACTCATGATTTTACTACAATTTGTTTCAGCCTGTTTGTTTTCATAGTTAAAAATTGACAAGTGCTCTGGATTCCTGTGCATGACATCAGTCTTATGTGATTATGGATGCAAAAAGAACTGGAATATGAACTATGTGGATATATTTTTAGGGAAGAAAGGTAAAATGTGAGATATGATCAGTACACCAGTTGTAAAATGTTCAAAGCAATTTAAAATGCAGTTTAATCACGTGTTTAATAATAATAAATATCCTAGATTGCAGTGTCCTGTTATACTAAATAAGCATCAATTTCCATCAAATAGTAGCAATGATGTAACTTGGTTGCATGTCAGTGCCTGGATACTTGATATTGACATCTTACGACAGAATATTTTTATCACAAAAACAAACCTTCGTTTTAATCCCCCCCTCATGCTGGGCCTTGTTGTTAAAGTTACTGATTACAAATTGCATGGTGTGTCAGTGCTGTGTTATGCCCCGCAGGTACTTCATTTAAGGCAGAGACAAAATGGGAAGTCTTAAGGATGAGATTAGAGGTCTCAGAGAGGACCACAAGCCCTGTGAGAAGATGGAGAGTGAAGATGGAGAGTGTCCAGGCGGCTCAGATGGCAGAGCCGGGCCTGAGGGACCTCAGATAAAAACGAGTCAAGTGTCTACAACTCATGGGGACTATCAGCCAACACTTCACATGAATGCCAGCTACGCCAAAGAGAGAGACAAGAATCCAATATCCAAAGATCAAGTGCTTTCAGAAGGGCTTTGTGACAACAGTGACCAATCAGACTCTATAGGAGTTAAAGACTCTGAGCTGACTGACACCATCCCCCTGACAGAACAGCCTGAAGGTGATAACACAACAGCTACACAGAACAACATCACAATCTCTAATAAGTTCCTGAGTGATGGAGATGGCGATGGTGGAATTCAGGGGGGAACGTCTAAGGATAAAAATATGGGTTATGAAAGAGAAAAAGGGGCAGAAATTGAGAATATCTTGGTGCCTGAACCATCAACTCCAGTCCCCTCCGATCCACGTACCCCAGCTCCTTTTGGCCAGAACCACATGCACACACAGGTCAGCCTGGAGGTAGTCCAGTGTCGCTCTGCAGCCACCAGCCCCATGACACCTCCCGAGGCAGGCCATTCTTTCTTCTTTCCCAGCTCTTTCGGGAGATCCGGAGCTATGGGTACTGACACCAAAGACGCTGAGCTGCAGGTGGGTCAGCAGGTGGAGTTCTGCTCTGTTGCCACATCCCCCATGACCCCAAAGACGCCATCGACCACTGCTTTCCCAGAGCTTATCGGGAGAGAGACGGCGCAGGAGGGGATAGTGAAAAAGAGTGAAGGACAACAAGGGAGTTTCACCACGACAAAAAGTCCAGCAGAGTCTGAGTCAGAGATAACTGGAGCTTTGAAATTTACCACATCAAAGGAGCTGAGTGAAGGCTTCAGCTCCAATGCATCTCGAGAGAGCTCCGCCAGCTGCACTGCTGCTGGGTTAAGAGATTCACAAGTAACTCTGGAGGATAGTAATCAGCAGTGTAAGCAGCAGAGGATGGGAAGTATGGATCAAGACATTACAATCCTGGTGACTCACCATGGCAACAATGGGGAGGAAGAGGAAGAGCTGGCCGAGTCATCTTTTTATCCCACAGAGCCGGAGATGGTCAAAATAGATGAATATGAGGAACTAGGAGAAAACAACAGTGAGGTAAAGAGAGAGGATGGAAAGGTAAATATCTCCACAGAATCGGTTGCTCCTGATCATATGCAGGACACCTTAAACGCAAACTCCCCACAACACAAAACAGAAGAATCCTCTGTTTCTGCCTGCGACGAAGTAACAACAGACATGAAATGTGAAAAGTCAGATTTCAAAGAAAACAAAGGTGCATGTGAAGAGTTGAGAGACCTTTCTGTGACAAAGCCTCCTGTCCCTGAATCTCCAGCTCCCTTCGGCTGCCACAACATCCGCACACAGGTGAGCCTGGAGGTGGTGCAGTGTCAGTCTGCGGCTACCAGCCCCATGACCCCTCCTGAGGGGGACCATGCCTTCTACTTCCCCAGCTCTGTCGGGAGGTGCGGAGCTGTTGGTGCAGAGACTAAAGATGCTGAGCTGCAGGTGGGTCAGCAGGTGGAGTTTCGCTCTGTCGCAACAGCACCCATGACCCCGAGGACGCCCACCACCACGACTTTTCCTGAGATCAGGAAGGAGGCCAGCATAGAGGAGAAGATAGTGGAGGAAGAAGAGGATAAAAAGGAGCAGGTGGTGGAGGACAAAAAGGAAGTAGTTCAAGAGGAGGAGAAAGAAACTGAAGAGAACATGGTGGAAGCAGCCGAAGAGGATGCACTAAATTGTAAGGAGAAAGGTGAGGAGCCGGTACAAGAGGTGAGCTGGGATGAAAAGGGGATGACGTGGGAGGTGTATGGGGCTGTGGTGGAAGTGACTGTGCTGGGCTCAGCCATCCAGAAACACCTGGAGAAACAGGTGAAGAAGAGGCAGCCCTCCATGCCTCCCCCTCCTCCGCTCAACCCCTCAGCCATGCCCCTCTCTACAGAGTCCACTCGAGGGGGTTCCGGTAAGGGCAGGGCGGGGAAGAGTGGTGAGCGAGATGGGGAGGTGAGCCGCCGCAGAAGAAATCCCTTCCGTCTGCTGATGGAGAACATGCAGCAGCCGCATTGTTGCTCCAAAGCTCATACCTCTGAGTGACACAAGAAAAACAACAGCTGGTTGGAGAAAGAAAATCTGTGCTGGAAAATCACATGACATCTGACATACGTGGCAGTGATACGTGCATTTACTGGTGTACTTCAGCACGGCATTGTCTTGAAAGTGTGAGAAGCAAATCAGAGCCTCGCACAAGACAAAAAAAAGCACAAAAGCATTTAATAGAACAACTTCTACCATGGAGCATTGATCACTGAGAATCAGCCATATAAGATGGGGTTGTTGTTTTGTTGTTGTTTTTTTTTGGTGTTCCTTGTTTCCATATTTGGACGAATAAGGGTGATATATCAATATCATCATTAGCGCTTCTCCTTTAACGTTTTTCATCCAGACCATTCAGTTGTCTGCTGACTCATTTTAACTGCTTTTTTATGACAATATGAAGCCATGGTAACCTTTCTCCTGGTTGCTAACAAGCTTAACACAGCTTCAGCTGAGAGAGATGATAGCAGAGTGACAGTTTCTGAGCGTGATTTATGACCCCGTGATCAGTCATTAACTGAATCTGAAGGTCATTTTATTTAGAAAGTAATGAAGTTAAAATCATCTAAATGTTGCCTTGATCTGTGCGTGAGAGGAGTCCCTGCCTGTCTTATATTCTGCTTTTAAATTTGGCACAATGTTTTGACTTGTTCGTATTGTGAAAAGTATAAAAATGTACTGATGGCAAGCACAATCGTGATCATATGAGAAAAGCAATGACACCTGATATGAGGGTATTTTTAGTCAATACTATTTACTGTATTTTAATGCCATGATCAGTCATTCAGTTGTAAAGTATGTGATGAAACCTATTTTAAATGTTTTTTAATTCAGAAGTTGTTGGTGTCAGTGATGTTGGTGTTCATACATTAATGTCATAAAAGTGGGATCAAATCCACATTTGGAGAAGTCAATTTTATTCACAGATTGCACTTGTGATACATTCATTTAGATGTCAGTAAACAGTGAAATCATTTTTTTTCTCAATTTGCTACTTGTACGAAGTCACAAAATCACACTGCATGAGGTTTTATTTCATATCTCAAACCCAACGCAAACACTGACAAATTAAACATGCAATAGGGTAAACCTTTTGGCTGATGTGCAGTTATAAATAAGGATTTCATTCAGACACTGACATTATGCAATATTCTCCTCTCTAGATCCTCTTTCCTCTTTTTGGATTTTCAAACAAAAATTAGCATTGTGTGTTGACATACCTTATCATACAGTTTATTTCAAACCAAACAGTTTTTAAACTGTGGCTTAATATATTAACAAAAATAAAGTGATTCACATGTGCAACAAACAATTGTTTTGTTTGCTTTCCCACTGCATTTTTCCAATTTTTCATTATCTTGATAAGGTTTATGTTTTAAAAGAGGAGTTCGACAGTTTGGGAAGTACGCCTATTTGCTTCCTTGCCAAGTTTAAACCACTCTCATGGGCTAAACATGAAGCCTGCGTCTATCTACAGTTTTATATATTTTTGTACGGAATAAACAGACAAGGTGTTGGTTAGCTTTGAACACAGCCAGACCAGCTGTTTTTAATCCTAAAGCTAAGCTATGGTCTCCTGGCCATAGCTTCATATTTGTTGGACACATATGAGAGTGGTATCGAACTTCAAGTGAATAAACATATTTCCCAAAATGTCAAGCTATTCCTTTAACTGTTAACAAACCAAATTCCATGATATCATTATACTGTTTTCTGGACATCTCCCATTTTGGTTTTACTTCTTGTTTTTCCTTGAATTGAATGTTTGGAAAAAGCAAATTCATCACTTTAGGTGCCATGAATCTTGTGTATAATATCAGTAATACATTACAATTAATCAGAACAGAAGGCCATTTGAAGACATGCGGACTTCATCCAACCATAAACCATCAATATGTTTAAATGGTATTTTGGTGATTACAGAGAAGCAACAAAAGTCCACCGTAGGCCTCTGGTCAGCGTCTCTCCCTTCACATCATTTCCATCATAGGTCTGTAGTGTTGAACACAGGGTTACTGAAACCCACCCGAGGATTTTTGGAGCCTTTCTCCTGCCCCCGCTGGGCCAGTGCTGCACCCAGAGGCTCAATGTACTCTGGTGTTCCAGTTTCTTCCTCCTCTTCCTCCCGGATCATCTGCTAATGAGTAGCATACAAGCTTTGAAATGAGACCATACTCTAATTACAAATGAAAATGGACAGGAAAGGTACAATGTGTAAGAATTCAGACTACTCTCCACCTGTCAAAGTAAAAAAAAAGGGATAGCATTTCACATATCAGGTCATAAATGCTGCTGACTGCAGTTAGGTAGTTAGCTCAGTTAGCTGTGACCCTAACGTAGCAGTCCTTAAAGCTGACTCCAGAATGGGCACCAGAACGGGAGCCAGGCAAGCGGCCAACTGAACTGGGCTCAGCAGCCTCCCAGTGAACAGGGACCAAACAGCCTCTGAGACCAGCAGAGGCCAGTTTGACAACAGGGAATACAGTACCAAGGTGATTTACAGTGAGACACAGCGGAGACAGGAGAGACTTCAATCGGGACAGACAGCAACAGAATATTTTCACATCTAACTCGGTGAATGAGTGAACAGTTTGATGAGTTTTATTTTGTTTCTGTTGAGTTTGAATGAAGTGTGTTTTAAGGTGAATTAACAAGGCAAGTAGTTCAGCAATAGAGAGAAACTTGAATTCAGAATGAGTTTGGTTGTATTTTTCTGTTTGATAGGGAAAGTAGGTGTAAGAATATTTTATTTCTTGACATGTGAGTTCATTTTGTTTATTTAATAGACAAATTAAGCTAAAAGAACTTGTGTAACACAGCAAAACTCCCTGCTCATACAACTCCCTCAGCTTAAACCACAATGAGGCCAGTATTACAAGACCTGAGCCTGGGCTAGCAGGTTAGCATGCTAACTTCAGAAGATATCTCTGCAACACAATACACAGACGTCTTTGACCTGACGTCAGAACTGTTACTTTTTCACATTATGTAGAAAATGTTAGTTATTTTTTTTAAATGTTTTTGATCTGTTAAATTCTTACACATGGCACCTTTAAAATGTAAACTCACCATGATAGGTTGTGAATCCCTTTCAGTCATTTCATCACTGTAGTCCAGGGAGTTGAGGCTTTAATGGGAAAAGAAAAACAAAGGGATCAAAATATACAGTAACCCGCATATGCACTATTAACAATCGCAAATCAGTGTTTAGGTTTTTGATTTAAATAAATGTCACATGTCAAGGATGGGAGCCGAAATGTGTCTCCATCACAACATGCTGTAGTGAGCACACTGGGACAAACTGTTCACCTGGAAACTATCCCAGCCTATTAACCAGTCCTGCTACAGAGTGGAGAGAGAGGTTGTGTGTCACTGTGGGACGCCAACCAGTCAAACTGCGCTGACCGTGCAAATGACTGCTAACAACAGATGGATGGGGAGGTCACAGAGAGCTTTTCTTTACCTGACTTTGTCCACATCTGAGCTCTCCTCATCCAAGTCCAGGACCATGGCTGTGTCGATGTTGAGGTTGAGAACAGGATTAGCCCTGTTAGCGAATAATGAGCAGTCAGAGATATGTTATATTTCATCATTTATCTCTTTAACGCTGTTGTCTCCTCACCCCTCCATGGTGTACTTGTTGGTTCCAGGCACCACAGGACCACTTTTCTGGTTGTCAGAAGTCACCATGGATGCAGAGTTCATGGCTTTAGCTGCCTTTAGCTTCCTCCTGTAGCTTTAGTGTGAAGTGAGTTGATTAGTTAGTTGATTAGTAAACAGACACAGCACCTCTGTTGGATGTGTTTAATCAGTGGTACTTTGGAAGATGGGAAGTGTGGCTTTGATGGGATAAACTGTGCAGTTAAAAGTTAATTGTCCTGTCTAATTCTGTACCTAACTTTAATCCCTTTAAATCCCCTTTCTTACTTTCTGCGAGTGCACAATAGGGAGGTGGTGAGGATGGCCAGTATGATGATGAGGCCTCCTACCATCCCCAGCAGGATGTACTGCACAGGGTCTGTGTCTTGTTCAATCGCAGGAGCCGTCCCCTGAAACAAAAGTAAGAAATCTATCTTTAGTATTTAGTTGTCTGTTGATCTATATGGTTTGATTTACACTTGTCGTTGTCAGATCTAATGACAGTATAATTTGTGGATTACACTAAAGTACAAGTAAAATAAATAGACATACAGTGGTAAAATAAAATAATTTATTGTATCTTTATTTGTGTATGAGCAATTTGATTATTTTTTAAACAAAAACTATTCTATATAACAAAATCCATCCACCCATCCATCCATTGTCAACCGCTTATCCTGCGTACAGGGTCACAGGCAACAAAATCTTCTGTCATTAAATTTGTATAAATATTATTTGAAAATAATAATAAAATATGACTTATCACAATAGTGTTTAGGGCTTCAAACCCCAAATTTAGCTCCCCTGCTGCACTTTTGCTCCTGATTAGTTCAGCTAAACAAATTCCAGAAGGAAAATTAAGTATAATCATTATTGTGATAATACTAATGTTCTTGTTAGTGTTCTCAAGTAAAATTAATGTATGACTATGCAGCAAAATTGAAAAATATTATCATTATGTTGTATGTAGTTCTGCTTGCTATTTTAAATATTTGCAATAATCTCTCACAGAAACAGATGTCCTCCTACAGCAAGTACTTCTAATGATCATAATTGTTTCAATTCATTTAGATCAGTGATTTCAACATATGGAAGTCAAATACAACAAGACAATAAAAAAAAGCTGCAGTTAACAGTAGCAGTTCTTGTGCTTCTTGTTTTTCAGGGACTCAGTGTCCCATATAAAATAAAATCTTTTCCAGTACAGTGGAAAATGATGCAACAAGAGCAGTGAGATATGAAATGATGGAAACTACAAAAAAATGAACAAGGGGCATGTAACACTGCTTTAATTAAGTTGATCATGTAATTAAAAGAAAGTATATGTGACAGAGAGGAGACCCTTTCAGAAAATAAACGTTCAATTCTAAAATTGCTCGTACTTACAATGTTCGCGAGGCCAAGCTGCCCCAGCACAGGATAATGTTCAGGATCAGAGAGCATCTTTTCCACTTCATTAGAAGTAAGAGCAGTCCCGTTGGAGTAGACAAAATATGCCACTATAATAGTTTTACCTGGATCCCTGCGAGAAGAATACAACTTAGTCACATATTTAAAATAATGAACCTAAATTAACTATTTGAATTGTTTTAAATCTAAAATCCCTTTGAGATGCTGCAATTATTGTCCACAATTATCAGCAAATAATTTATTCTCAACAGTATGATTGTTTACAGGAACACTGGCTCCACCTAGTGGACAACAGTCTGTGTCTGTAAGTGAAGATTACTTTGGAGTTCTTGTCAGCACCAGCCAATAATTTATTATCTGTATCTGCGTTCACAGACTGTATAATTTATTTTGATGTATGGGGATTAACATTTAGAGGTGAAGAGAAAAGGAACTTGCCTGGATTCTTGAGGAGTGTCTGACCTGATGGCAACGATTTCAACAGCGGACTTGGTGGCAGCAGTAAGTGCCCTGGAAATGTAGAGATCAGAGAAAATACCAAGTGTTAACTAAAATGTTAACTAAATAAAAATGTAATTCTTTAATTCTCTGTCATCAGATTCAAACTTTACTAAAACGCAGAATAGCTTGGAGAATTGTACCTTCTGATTTCATTGAGGTTTTTTTCAACATCAGCTTGGGAAGATGTAAATTCAAGTTCAACTTTATAGGACTCATCAACTGTGAAAATCTGCACAAAAAAATACAAAAACAGACAGGTTTCTCTGCAGTTCATGAATGAAAATCCAGCTGCAGGATTTCAGTCACTCACCTCCAGCACAGTGCTTGTGGAGAGGCCGCCGGTGTCAGTTGCAGATACTGTTACCAAGTA